AAAACCAAAACAAAAAACAAAAAAAACAAAAACAAAAACAAAAAAAACTTCTTCATAATCTTTGGGGTGCCTATCTTCTCCTGGTAGGTCTTGTATAGTAACTAAGGTTGGTTTTCTAACAACCTTGGGCCACCCCCTTTCAGTTTCATTATGCAGTGGTGTTGTAGGCTCTTGTCTAAATTCCTGTCTGTGTCTGAGTATTTTTTTAGGTCTTCCAATTCTTGTCTAAATTCCTCCATCTGTCTGTTTTTCTCCTTTTTATTTATACATTTCTAATTTTCTTTCTAATGTTTATATTTTACCAACATATTTTTCATAGTTTTCTTTTTCCTGTATCTCTAAAGTTATTTTTCTTTGAATGAGTATAGAAAGTCATTTTGGCTGATAAGGATATTATAAAATACCAAAATGATAATAATCGTAATCTGTATTGAGCCAATTTCAGTTAAATTATTTAACTTTTCACTTTCTCCTTCTATTTTCAAGCCATGTAGAGTAGCACTATACAGGGTCCTAAAGCCTTCTATTATGGTACTTCCCATCCTTAATTCTCTCTTTAAGGGCTTGCCAGATGACTTACCAAACCTGATGACTTCTCAGTTTGTCTGCAAGTTCAGAGATTCACTCCATTATCATCAAGGCAGGAACATGGTAGCATCCAGGCAGGCATGGTGCAGGAAGATCTGAGAGTTCTACATCTTCACCTGAAGGCTGCTAGCAGAATATTGACTTCCAGGCAGATAGGATGAGGGTCTTTTAAAGCCCACACCCACAGTGACACACCTACTCCAACAGGACCACACCTTCTAATAGAGCCACTCCTCAGGCTGAGCATATACAAAACCATCATACCAGGCCTAATCTCTCTCTCTTCTTGCTGCCTAGGGATCAGGATGTACACCTCTCAGCTACTTCTCTAGCTGTCATGCATGCTACTGTGCTTCCCATCATGATAATAAAGGACTTAAACTTTAAAAGAAAGCCCCAATTAAATGCTTTGCTTTGTATAAGAAAAAGGGTGCTTCTTCATAGCAAAAGAACAGTGACTAAGATGCTTGCTAAATACATTTTCTAGTTCCATCCATTTCCCTGCAACTTTCATTATTTCACTTTTCTTTATAGATGAATAATACTCCACTGAGTTTGTATATCACGTTTTCATTATCCATTATAAGTACATAAGTTGAAGGACACTTAGGTAATTTTCATTTCTTAGAAATTGTGACTAGAGCAATATTGTACATGATTGAATAAGTATCCACGGGGTAGAATGTCAAGTCCTTTGGGCATACATATGGCAAGGAATGGTTGATCTGGGTACTATGACATATTTTTCTTAGCTTTTTGAGAATTCACACACTGATTTCCAGAGTGGCTGTGCCAAATTGCAGTCACACCAACAGTGAATGAATATGTCTTTTTTAAAATTGTGTAGACCAAGCAAGCCTTGAACTCACATAGACTAGTATATCTCTGCTCTTAAGCCTAGAATTAAAGGTATTCACTACTACATCTGACTAAACCAAGGTTTCTTAAGTGGAAATTCTGTGAAGACTTTCTGACACTTCATTCATTGCCAGAATCTTCATGTATCAGCTTCACTGATCCATTAATTAGGTGTCCACATAACAACTCCTACAGTGGTCTTTAACTCTAAAGTCAACAAAAGCAATGCTCATAATTTTGAAGCCAAGTGTGGTAGTTTGAATAAGAATGGCCCCACAGGTTCATATATTTGAATGCATGGTCATTAGGGAGTGGCACTGCTTGACAGGGATTAAGGGATGTGGCCTTATTTGAGTAGGTATGAACTTGCTGGAGGAAGTGTGTCACTGGGGGTGGGCTTTGGGGTTTCAGATGATCAAGCCAGGCCCAGTGTCACTCTCTCTGCCTATTGCCTAAAGATCTAGGTGTAGAACTCTCAGCTTCTTCTCCAGCACCATAACTGTCTGGATGCTGCCACACTTCCCACCATGCTGATAATGGACTAAGTCTCTGAAACTGTGAACAAGTCCCAATTAAATGTTTTCTTTTGTAAGAATTGACGTGGTCATGGTGTCTCTTCACAGCAATAGAACACTGACTAAGACATAAATATTCTGTAATAAAAACAGTTTAGAGGAAATTTTATAAGGATGCATTAAAACACCCATGAAATCCTGCATTTGATGATAGCATGAGAACATATAATTTTCCCCAGGTGCTTCAGTTGTAAAATGGAGATAATAATAGACACTTCACATAATTAACCTCATTATTAATTAAGAGAACATTAAGCTAGTGATTAAAAGTTGGGACTTAAAACCATGAGACTTAATAAATTACAGAAAAGTCTATAGAGAAAAGATCCCAGTCCTCCTTCCAAATGTTTCCCCCTCATTTCTTCATGCTATAATGACTTCAGAGGGTAGGAAGGAGGTTAAAGGCTTTAGATGAAATATGACCATACCAGGAAGGATCAAGTCTAATGATCAAAATCCATCTTCAAAGTGCTTACAGCAGACTCAGCATAATCTAGAAAAGAGGAACAAGGGCAAGTGTTGGGTTGGCGGGGGAGAGGTCCTACATAGAAATACAGGCTCTCTTGGTCTGGCTGTGGTCTGCCCTGTCATAATCTTGGTCCATTGTCTGAGGATCAACTTTGCAGAATTATATTGGCACCACGAAGTTCTCTGCCTAAGGAGTAATTACTTCCCTTTGTTTTTGTTCAGCAACTGGGTGTTTTGTTTCTGGAATCTAAGGTAACTCTGGGGGAAGAAAGACTCTGGAGCAATCAGAACTCAAAAGGAAGGCAATAAAGGTAGAATCTGAAACAAAATGAAATTAGATAGGTCAGTACTTGGTCCTCTTTCAAATTCCCACTGTCAAATCCAAACCATCATTCTAAGTTTTTATAAACACTTATTGATTTAGTCTCTCTCTCTCTCTCTGTCTGTGTGTGTGTGTGTGTGTGTGTGTGTGTGTGTGTGTGCACATGTTAAGTCACAGCCCACATGTGGAGATTAGAGGACAACCTGTAAGAGTGGTTCTCTTCTTCTACCATGTGGACTCTAGGTATTGATCTCAGGTCATTAGGCATGACAACAGGTACTCTTACCCACTAAGCCATCTTAAGCCATCTTATCATTCCCCTCATTCCATTACTGTTGAAGTGGTCTGGAATGGAAGACCCAGTTACAACTCCTCCTTTTCCTTGCCCATTCCTCAGTCTTGAGGGATTTGGAACCCAGTGTCATTGACTTGACTGTCTACTGATGGACTGGTACATAGATCACATCCAGGTTCCTGAAGCATGTATATTAAGAGAAACAAGATGCTTATGTCTATAGTCCCAGTACTTGGAGAGCTAAGAAAGGAGGACCAACAGCTGAAGAACACCCTTTGGCTATATAATGAGCTCAAAGTGAACTTAGACCAAGTGATACTCTGTCTTGGGTAGGGCTTTCTTCTTCTCCTCTCAGTAACTGCTTTCAAGTGTCTAGGTACTACAGATGCAGAACGAAGTCAAGAGATATGAAAAACAAACAAAACAAACCCACATGGTTTTCTGAAGGAACCAGGAAGCTTACAAACTTAGATTGAATTATAACTATGATAATTACCTAAAAGGAAATTTTGGCTACTTTAAGACAACTTAATGAAGGTCTAACTCAGATTAAATGATCATGCACACGAAGCAATTATAGCGTCTGTCACATTGCAAACATCTTGGACAGGGAAGCCATTTCTGAGAAAGTAGAAGCTACACTGACACCAAAGGGGGAGAGGAGTTAGCTATGGGAGAAGCTAGGGCAAACCATGGCAAACAGAGGACAATCTAGAAGACACCAAGACAGAAAGGACTATGAGATATTCAAAGAGTTGACAAGAAATCTGGAAGGCCAAGGGACACACCAGTAAATGAGATCATCTGCCAGACTACTCAGAAATAAAATGAGAATATGTAATAACCCTGAATATTGAATCAAAATATCAATGATGCAAATTAATTGTAGTAGTTTGAAAATGGGCACGTACTTCCTCCTTCCAAGCACCTCGTCAATCATTCAAAGGGATGATTTGCCTTTCGATGACCCATTGCTATGCCTTGCCCAGTGCATAGCAATTTAAGGGGGCATCCCTCCTGAAGTATGTCTGGTGAGAACAGAGCCAAGGGAAATGTAGAAACAAGCAGCAAAGGGGCAGTATCAGTATCCCTTATGTGGCCAACTCCTTACATTTGTTTTTCATTTCCTTTGTAATTATTATTTTAAAACTAGCCAATCACGACAGACCCCGGGCAATTGGGGTAGGGGGACCGTAGGGCAGTCATCATCTGTCCCTGTATGCTTGCTAACTCTAGTTGGGTCTTGGTGCACCCTTTGACAAAAATAATTGCTTTGCTTCTGTGTTCCTTTGTGGAACATGGAGATTATTCTGTTTATCTAGCAATCCCCTAGCACAGAAAGAAAAAGCAGTGAAACTAGCAGGCTCCCATTAGACAGTTCAGGCTAACTCTATTGAGCCAGTCCAAGAGCAATTTCTTTGATAGAGACGGTTCTTGCTAGAGTAAAAGTTGATATATAATTTCAATACACAGACACACATCCGCGCGCATACACACACACACACACACACACACACACACGGAAAGAGGGGGACAACTGAAGAGTGTATACGTTAAATAGAAGAGACTGACAGAGTTTTAAATGTACAAGTGTCCTACACCCAGAAAATCAAATTTCAACACCATCAACCAACACCCATTGGTTATCCTCGCCTTGTCTGTGCCGCTGTTCGGCCGAGATGAGTCTTTTTCTGGTTGGAGCGTTAACTGTCTGGGGACAAGGGACTAAACGTATCAGCTGTCTTGCCGCGCCCGTGCGGAAATCCTAGTCGGTGAGAGCCGGACGCAAAATCTCCCGGAACCAAAGGCAAGCGGCGAGGACTCGGTCCGCCCAGGTTCGGGGAGGTGCCGGCATCCTGGGTGGCGCGCGGCTCCGCCCTCCACCCGCCTCCACAGTTAATAGTCCGGAATCAGCTTGTGCTATAGTGTGGCTCTTTCTGGATGAGAGGAGACAGCAGCGTCCTGCCCTTGGCTTGAGCAATGCTGAGACGCTGCGCTATGCGCCTGCGCACTTTTGGGGCCACGCCTGCGAGGCGGCCTGGAGCAGCGAGGGTGAGTCCCGGGACGCTGCTTTCGTAGGTGGAGAAGGGGAGACAGCACAACCGAGGCTAAGCTAACACCTGTCCCCAGCTGTAACCGGGCTCATGGGATCTTCAGCCCTGAGATTCGAATCGGGAGGAGCGGGAAAGGAAAGTGACTCAAGGTTGAAATAGGTCAGCAGGGATGGGATCACCACTACTGAGATAATAAAGGATAAGCAAGGTCACCCAGAAAACCGTGACCCCTGGACCATTTATCCCTAGCAGGGATCTATTCCTGATGGACTCTGATTCGTTATAACCAATTCAGGAAGAGAGAGGAGACTTCTGATTTGACAATCAATTATGCCCTCTCTAGCCCGTTTTCACCATCTTAGAGGATAAGACTATATGAGATAATGCAAGGGAAGCATTTAGCATTTACCTGGAATGTAAATCTTAAATGTTGCCTGCCCTTATTTTTATCCCTGCTTTGTTTCATTGATGTAATCAATACTTGTTGAGCTCCAACTATATGTCAGGTGTGATTGGCCACTGATGATAAGTAAGACATATTGTGGTTAGATAGGGAAAAAGAAAATAACATTCTCCTCAAGGAATTTATGGTCTAGTTTGAGACAATGGGGTCATTTTGACTTGCCAAATCCAATGTTTGTATAATGTGTATTATAATAAAGAACAACCAGGAACCGTTCTGTATTGAGAACAGAAAAAGAACTTTGGTTATTAGGTGACTGTGGCATCTCTCTCAAGCTATTGCAGCTTACTGATAGACAATAAAAGAGGGCTAGAGTTGCTCGGTGATGGACACACACACAATTTTAAAATAATAATGAGTGTTGATGGCTTGTCATCAGTCAGGTACCATCTTACCGATTAGAAAAGAAAATGATTTGTGCTAGTCTTACAACAACAAATATAAATTAGTTTAATTACATGTTGGAGCCTGGCAGTCTGTGCTGAAGACATTTAAGCATTAACATTTACAGGCTTTATTTACACCGTACTGCTTTTGACTCAGTAACTTATCTTAAAAGGAGGCATAAAAAGTCATAACTTTACTTACAAGTCCAACTTTCATAAATCTATAACTAAAGATCAAGCATGACCTTTCCTCTACTGAGAACAGAGTAATGATTATCCCTACAACTTGTCCTTCATTCATAGTCTGTGCTGTGAATTTACAAGTGCATTCACCGAAGGTAGCGCTTAGATCTCACCTCTTTGAACTGAAATTTGAGTTGCTTTTATTTCCCACAACACTGTAGTGTCCATCTAAGGTAACTCAGCATACTTCCAACTAAAATTAGTAGCTCCACTCCCATTCTCAGCCATCTGCACTTTCACGCTACCAAGCATCTTTTCCTTCTAACCTTGCCATCCAAGCCACAAGTCTGGAATCACCTGAGACTCTTCCCAGAGGTTAGTAGTTGCCATTTCCCTGGGTTCTACTACTGGGTGGGTGTCACTTAAACCTTTTCTTCTTGTTCCTCTGTACCTAACTCAGCTCTGGGCCATAGCTAACCCTGATGTCTATCAGTCTGTGCTACTTTCCCTTTTTTCTCACCATTTTAACTCATCCTTTGCACTTGGTGAAACTTTCTAAAAACCAATGTTGTTACTTTGCTGAAGGCTCATTTTGGAAAGTGAATACTTCAACACACCAACTTCATGATTGCCCTTTATGAAAAAGGAAAAAAAAAGAGCTGGGCAGTGGTGGTGCACGCCTTTAAGCCCAGCTCTCAGGAGGCAGAGGCAGGAGGATCTCTATGACCTCGAGGTCTATAGAAGATGTTCCAGGACAGCCAGGGCTACACAGGAAAACTCTGTCTCCAAAATAAATAAATAAACAAAAACAAAACTATGCAAAAACAGAAAAAACTTAATTTATTTTTAAACTTGCTTATTTATGTGTGCATTGCCTCTTGTATGTCTGTGGCAGTGCCTATGGAGACCAGATAAGGGTGTTGGATCCCCCTGGGATGGAGTTATGGACAGTTGTGCAGCAATATGGGTGTTGGAAATTGACCCTGCATCCTCTGGAAGAGCAGCCAGTGCTGTTAACCATTGAGCCATCTCTCCAGCCCCATGATTGCCTCTTCATGTAGTTTCATCCTAAGTAAAAACACTTTTACTATAACAAGTGTGATATGCTATTCATTTCTTTCTGTGTTACATAAGTATATATAAAGTATTTTTATTACTGTAATTGTATACTATGTCACTTATAGTATTTAAAACATATGTCTATCCTTGTCCTTGTGCTACCTAAAATCACCTTTCACACTGATTTTTTTTTTAACCATTAACCTAGAAGGTTAAATTTAAGAGTTGTGATCCCTCTTCTGTATTGTCAACTATGTCTGGCTGCACCTCTTTTCTCTGTACTTTCCATGTGTGGAGACTGAGATCCTAGCAGCCCTCCAGTGTGTCTGTAGCCATTTCATCCTCTGAGCCTTTGTTTAGAGTAGCCTTTAGTTCTCTCTCGTGAACTTTGGCAGCAAGAAATCAGTCTGGGTTTTTTGTTGATGCCTGTTGTTTGTTTGTTTAAGTATTCCATGAAAGCACTTATATCCATATCTATGTCTAGTTGTATTTCCCATTATCTGAGGCTGCTCACACTTAAAGGCAGAACCTAGGTCTTTTCTTTTTGTCTTTTCTATCCCCTGTATAAAAACAAAGTACATAACAGAACTCAAAACAATATATTGGATTTTAGTTTAAAAGTTAAAATCAGACTGGGTGTGGTGGAGCACACCTTTAATTCCAGCAGCACTCAGGGAGCAGAAGTAGGTAGGCTAACCTGGTCTACACAGGAAGATTCAAAGCAATGAGACCCTGTCTCAAATAATAAAATGTTAAGTTAGGTAAGTAGAAGAGCCCAGGGAGCATTCTGATGGCTAAAAGTCTTCAATTAACTCTATTTCTTTAGCCCATAAGAGGATGTGAAAACTGATCTAAGCAGGGGTTTCCTACTTGAGAGATCTGAATGGGACTAACAAGATGGCTTGCTAGGTATTTGTCCTGAAACCTGACAACCTGAATCCAATCCTAGGAACCCATGTAAAGATGGAAAGAAAGAATTGACTCCACAAAGTTGTCCTATGACCTTCACATGAGTGCCATGGTATGTACACACACATATACACATACCACACACACACATCACACACACATAGACACTAATAAATATTAAAAAAGAAAAGAGACCTAAGGATGAAATGAACCCAGATTCATAATTATAAACCAGCATCCCTGGTGGTCTAGTGGTTAGGATTCAGTACTCTCCCTCATGTGGCTGGGGTTCAAATCCCAGTCAGAGGAGTGAAACTATTTTTTCTGGTTGCATTGGGGGAGTGTGGGAGGTCACATGCCTTTAATCCCAGTACTCAGAAGGCAGAGGCAGGTAGATCTCTGAGGCCAGCCTGGTCTACAGAACAAGTTCCAGGACAGCCAGGGCTACACAGAGAAACCCTGTCTCAAAAAGGAGGATAGTGGGGTGATTTTTAAACTGAGCATTGTGATATGACACACACCTTTAATCGCAGCACTCCAAAGGCAAAGGCAGACTGATCTCTGTGAGTTTGAGGCCAACCTGACCTACATTGTGAATTCCAGGACAGCCAGGGCTACATAGTGAGACGCTGTATCAAAACAAGCAAACAAAAATGATTATTACTGGGTCCTGAAGAGATAACTTAGTGGTTAAGAGTTCTGCCTGCCTGTCTTAGTTACTTTTGTATTGCTGTGAAGATACCATGACCAAGGCAACTTATAGAAGGAGTATATTGGGGGCTTACAGTTTTAGAGGTTGAGTCCATGGCTGTCACAGTGGGGTGCATGCTAACAGGCAGATATGATGCTGCAGAGGGTGTACACCCTTTCCTGAAAGTAGGAGGCAAAGAGCTAACTGGGAATGTCTGAGCTTTAAAGATCTCAAAACCCTTACCCAGGGACACACCTCCTCCAACAAGGTCAGGTATGGTGGGGCATGCCTTTAATGCTGGCACCTAGGAGACAGAGGTAGTTGGATTTCTGAGTTTGAGGCCAGCCTGGTCTATATATTGAGTACCAGGCCAAGCAAGGCTACATATAATGAGACCCTATCCATAAATAAATACATAAATAAGAGAGAAAGAGAGAGAGAGAGGGAGAGAGAGAGAGAGAGAAAGAGAAAGAGATTGGCTTCAAGCTGGACACCATTGTACATGCCTGTGATCCCAGTATTTGGGAGACAGGAAGATCACAAACTTAAGACTATAGCAACACCCTGCCTCAAAAACAAAATAAAATAAATGTTTTAATTTATTTTTGAGATTGCTTTTTAATTACATCATTTCTCCCTTCCCTTTTACCCTCTAAGCACCTCATATCCCCACCCCATTCTTCTTTAAATTCATGACCTCTTTTAAGATCAGTTGTTTCTGTATGTTTATATGTGTTTCTATATTTCTACATAATCCCAGACATATAGCCTGTTGAGTCCATATGATGTCACTTGTATGTATGTTTTGAGTGCTGATTGTTTGGGACTGGGCAACCAATTTGTTGCCCTTCCTTGGGGAAGACCACCTCTCTCTCTCTCCTAGTTCTTTGTGTAGGGCCGAAGCCTCTTGGGCTGTTCATTGTGGTAGTTTAGCTTGTTTATTGGTGTCCTCGTCTTCCCTGTCCAGCTCAGGTTTGGGCAATCACGTTGGTGATATTTTACTGGTATAGCTTCTGACATTACTAGGAAGCACAGCCTCATAGCAAAGCCCTGATCCTCTGGCTTTTATAATATGTCCACTCCTTTAAAACTTTTTTCACTGAAAAACTAAACAAAACATGGATGGCAATGTCAATGGGAGTGAGCAGTATAAAAAGAAGGAAAAAAACCTGTTGAATGAAGTTTACTATTTGGGAACTATGCAAGAAGGTCTTCGCTGCCAGAGGCTTGCCAGGAAAATGTAAAATGAACTACCTTAACAGTATAAATCAGGGTACAGTGCAGTAAATGGAAAGAACTTGGAGGAAATACATTAATATTTTACCACAGTTGTATTTGGAGTAAGAAACAGTGGGTGGAGTTTGTCTATCTTTCTCAGGTTATCCAGGCTGAGTTCTGAAAGGATAAGCTGATCAAAGTGGAGTAGAAAATAAAGTTACTTACCCTGAGCTACAGACAAGTGCTATTTCTGTTTGTTTCCTCAATTCCATAGTACCACAAAAAATCAGGACTTCCTTTTTATCTCTGACAAAGGATTTGGTTGTTGATCTGTTTACATTTATATGTTTGTGAGTGGAGCTTCGTGGACAACTGTTCATTCTCTCCTCCCAGCATACAACTTTCAAGGATCCAGCTGGGGTCCTCAGGCCTGGTGCAGGCTTTACCCTTTACCCACTGAGCCATCTCACCAATCTAGTTTGTTGTTGTTGTTGTTGCTGCTGCTGCTGCTGTTGTTTTCGTTTTCATAGAGTACTTGAGACAGGTTCACTCTGTTCTTCCTATTGAACGAGGATTGAAGTCAGCCCAGGCATCAGCAGAAGCTGATTCTCCCATCAGTGAGTGCAGCATGGTGTCAGGGGTGTGGTCCAAGTGACACATACAGTAATCAGAATGGTGGCTACAAGTAGAACCCTGCATGGTAGATACCTTCTGTAGTCATAACTGTTGTGAGGTTTCTGCAGCAGCTTTCCTGTCTTCTGTCTGGGAGCATGTGAGTATGCTCTTCTTTAGATGACACCCTGTCTTCCCAGGCCTCCAACCTTCTAGTTGTTGACTGGAACAGTGGCAACACTCAGTGCTCCAGAGAAGTATCATAGTTGGAAGTCACAGTTACCATGACACCAACCTCCCTTCTCCTGGCTTCCTCTTGTCCCTCTTGTATTCTTTTTTGTTTTTTGTTTTTTGTTTTTTTTGGTTTTTCGAGACAGGGTTTCTCTGTGTAGCCCGGGCTGTCCTGGAACTCACTCTGTAGACCAGGCTGGCCTCGAACTCAGAAATCCTCCTGCCTCTGCCTCCCAAGTGCTGGGATTAAAGGCGTGCGCCACCACCGCCCGGCCCCTCTTGTATTCTTTATTGTAATTAACTGTCATTTATTTCCACAGTGCCATTGATACACAGGGACTGGCTGCAGCATTTATCTTATTCCTTCCTTGCTTTATGGAAGTTGTCCCCAAGTTCTGCTTTACAATCTCATAATTCTCACTGAATTACCCAACTGCCTCCAAGTAGAACCCTCCATTTGCAATCTTGGACATTACCACTCTTCTATTTTGGCCAAGTCTGATCACATCACTCCCTGCTTAAATAATCTGAGAGTGCTGCAGAAAGAATTCAAACCAGTTAGCTTAGCATTGAGGCTTTGCCTACACCTCTATATCCTTCTGCTCCTTCTCTTTTTTTCTATTAATAAATTATTTTATTTATTTACATCCCAAATGTTGCCCCCTTTCCTGGTCCCCCCCTCAGAGTTCTTCCCCCTTCCTCTTCAACTCTGAGAGCCCCACCCCCACCCCGGGCGTCCCCCTTCCCTGAGCCATCAAGTCTCTACAGGATTAGGCACATCCTCTTCCACTGAAGCCAGACAAGGCAGTCTTCTGCTACATATGTGCCAGAGGCTTCTGACCATCTCATGTATGGTCTTTGGTTAATGGCTTAGTCTCTGGGAGCTCCCAGGGGTCCAGGTTAGTTGACACTGTTGATCTTTCTATGGAGTTGCCATCCCCTTCAGTTCCTTCAATCCTTCCCCTAACTCTTCCGTAAGGGTCTCCAACCACAGCCCAATGCTTGGCTCTTATATCTGTATCTGTCTCAGTCAGCTGCTGATAGAGCCTCTCAGAAGGCAGACATGCTGGGCTCCTGTCTGGAAGCACAACATAGAATCAGAAATAGTGTCAGGGTTTGGTACTCACCCATGGAATGGATCCAAGTTGGGCCAGTCACTGGACAGCCTTACCTTCAGTCTCTACTACATTTTTGTCCCTACATTTCTTTTAGTCAGGAACAATTTTGGGTGAAAACTTTTGAAGGTAGGTTGGTATCCCCATCCCTCCACTGGGGATTCTCCTGTCTAACTTCTGTAGGTGGTCTCTTCAGGTTCCATCTCCCCACCATTGGGCATTTCGGCTAAGGTCACTCACATTGAGTCCAAAATCATCATGGGAGACAGAGGAAGGGAGGGACCTGCATGGGAGAGAGAAGGGGGAGGATAAAAGGGGGTAAGATCAGGTATGAGGGGGCGAAACAGGAAAGAAGCCCAGAGGGCCAGGAGAATGAATGAAAATATACAGCTGCCAGGGGTGGGGCTGGAGTGGGAGGAGCCTCTAAAAACTTACAGAGACCTGTAATAGGGGAGGTTCTCAGGACTCTGTTCATTCTCTTACACTTTAACATTGCCTAGCTTCCTTTAGACTTTAATTTCATCATCTGTAAAATGGGGACAATTGTTAGTTACTACTGCTTAGAGTACAATAAAACCCTTCAAAACTATTTCATGCCTTCTTGATTTGCACAGATTGGTTTCAGGTTTTGTTGTTGTTGTTTATTTGGTTGGTTTTGGTTTTAGTTTTACATACACTACTCTTTCCAGATGACTACTTTCTGTTTGTTAGTATTCATGTCAAAGAGCCAAATACTGAAGCAATATTATTCCCTTGTGTTCCAGCAACCTATGTGTGCCTCACCTGTGTACTTTTGATAATATCTATCCATCTCTCTATGTCTGGTGACTGGTCACTTGGGCCTAATGCTATCCCCACCAGTAACTAGCTGGGAGAAGTTAGGCAAATCACTGGCCCTTTGTCATTCTCCTATTTCTGTGAAGGGGTATGGGACAAATGAGCTCTGAAGTTCCCAACCATTTTGAAGTGATCATTTTCTAGCAGTAAGAAAAGCAGCATTGTAGTCTTAGGAAGTTGCAGAAAGTATGAAATACTGTGTACCTCCTATTCCTCTTTTCTTGTCTCTGTCTTTTAGAGGTTATCTTCTTCTGAGAAAGTCATTCATAAGGACTATGCTCTCCCTAACCCCAGCTGGACTAAGGACCTGAGACTCCTTTTTGACCAGTTCATGAAGAAATGTGAAGATGGTTCCTGGAAACGTTTGCCTTCATACAGACAAAACCCTACTCAAGCCCTTCAAGAGTTCCAAACCCGTTTTGTTGGTAAGAATAACCCATAAATTATTCCCCATAAATAGTATTTGAATATCAATGTAAAGTATTACATACTGAAGCACTGATTACTACTTATTGAGAAGGAAGAGCTAGACATGGTAGATCTTCCATGTGTTTAATCCCTCTCAGTAGGATGATGCAGGAATATCCTGAGCACAAGGCCAGCCTGGCCACACAGCATGTTCCAGACCATGGGCTACATAGCAAGACCCCTTTCCGGATCGGGAGGAAGGATAGGAGGAGGGGGTGGAAAGCAGAGCAAGGAGAGACTGAAGGGTAGAGAAGGAAGAAAGAAGGATCATGGAGACCAGGTTTTAGAGAAAGATAGTCCCCAGTTTTATAGGCCTGAAATCTCGCTAAATTTTCTGGATTATAAGAAAATATAAAACACACTGTTAAAAATGAGATGATCCCTGTAGGGTAAAAGGACCAAAAGAAAAAATACCCTGAATTTGACCCCCAAACCCAAAACCAGGGCCAAGAAACAGAATCCCTCCAATCACAGAGCTTGCCACAGAAACACACCAATCACTGAGCTTGCCACAGAATCCTGCCAATCCATGAGCACAAAAAAACCACCAATCCCTGATCTCACCCCAACCTCAGGACTTGAAATCCCGTCAGTTCTCACTCTGGAAATTTCCACCCTAGGAAGCTCCACTACCCCACCCCAACTCCAAGAAACCTCATGTAACCCCTGGCTTCTGTTCAGTTCCTTGCTGCATCTCGAAGACACCCTAGGGGGCTTTTCCCTTGCAATAAATTTCTTCTGTGAGGTTTGTTGTGCAGTGTGACTTTGTAGTATTCCTGTAACAGTGACCTGTTACATTTGCATTGGGGAAACCTTTTCCTCAGCCAGAGCAGAGCTATAACACTCCTGTAGGCGAAGCCTTTCTCTTCAGAACTGCAACACTTACAGTCCCAACCTGGCATCTTGAAGCTGATACCACCAATTTCTTTTTCTCTTTATCTCAGAATCTGGCTCCATCCCTCTGAGAAGGTCAGAACACTTGAATCACTCTCTGTCATAGTTGGAGTTACTGTTGCTGTAATGAAACACCATGACCTCACCTACCAAGCTGAGGAGGAAAGGGTTTCTTTGGCTTACATTTGCATGTTACATCTCATCTATAAAGGAAGTGAGGAAAGGAACTGAAACTGGGCAGGAACCTGGAGGCAAGAGCTGATAGACTATGGAGGAGTGCTGCATGCTGGCTTGCTCCCCGTTGCTTGCTTAACCTGCTTTCTTATAGAACCCAGGATCATCAGCCCAGGGATAGCGCCATCCAAGATGGTATGTGCCCTCCCTCACTGATCACTAATTAAGAAAATGCCCTACAGTCAGATCTGACTGGAACATTTTCTCAACTACGGCTCCCTCTTCTCGAATGACTCTAATTTGTGTCAAGTTCACATAAACTAGCCAGTACACCCTCTAATCTCTCAGACTTTAAACCCAATGACAACCTACCTCATTCCCAACACTCAGAAAGTACACTTCCTGACATTCTGAGTTTGTTTGTTTGCTTTTTAACATACTTTGAATCAAAAAAGTATTTTAATTTTCAAAGAGGTTTATTTGGTTGGTTGGTTGGTTGGTTGGTTGGTTGGTTGGTTGGTTCTCTGAAGTTGGTGACTTCAAATTAGCCCTTAATGTTTCCTGACAGTCTGTCCTGGGAGCTGTACCCGGCTTGGTGGGAGGAGAATTGACCTTCTTTCTTCTCCTCCGGTCGGTTCTTCTTGAGGCAGCCAAGGGGGTTGGGAAGAGCGTCGGCAGTGGGTAAGACCTAGGGTTAGGCTACTGTAGCTGGCCTGCCCTCTGGTATCCTCTGTCCATAAACTGCAGTTTCTGGCACTTAACACCTCAGCCAAGGGACAGCAGGGAATTAGGCAAATAACCTTAGTACTCTCTCTGCAGGTGCTGCTAGGCTCTAACTTAGGTCTGTTGGTTTGAGGTCACAGGAAGAAAAGACACTTGAAGTTGTTATAGTTTATTGCTAAGTGTAATAAGTTTCCTATGAAAGTTATCTAAGGGGAAAAGTGGGAAGGTTCTAAGTGGGGAAAAGGAAAAATTCTAACAAAGGAAAAATTCTAAGTAGAGAGATTCTAAGCAGGGAAGAAGGAAGAAGGGAGAGTGGAGAGAGAGAGAGAGAGAGAGAGAGAGAGAGAGAGAGAGAGAGAGAGAGAGAGGAAGTGAGGGAGAGAGAGAGAAAGAAGTGAAGTTTTGTATAGATAAACCCAAGCAATATTTTCTCTTCTGTCCTAGCACCTATAATAAATGTGAGTTCCCTTTTAGTGACCTTTGGTTAATTGTTTTACAACCACCTTGGAATGTGCTCTGAGCAGGAGAGAATCTGGTAACTATCTAAGGGCTGATAACTGATGACACTTGGGAGACTGACAGAGTTTTCATAGCAGTTCTGACTATCAGAAAGGGACTTAATAGCAATCCCATTATAAAAGAGCTTAATAATCATTGATATAATTTTAGAAATTCTTATAGGATCATCATTAAGACTTAAGAAGTCGCCTATTTGTCTATATAGCATCACTACAAGATAGTACATCTTGGTGGGTCTGCAGAGATCTGCTCCAAAGGAGAGTGCTATTGCTTAGTGATTGTTATATATGTTTAATAATAATAATAATAGGAAAAGCATATTAATAGCAGGATCTTTCCTAAAATATGTCCAGCATAGCCTTGCTGATGTGGCACACTTGTCACAGATAATAATCCAAGGCAAGCATTTCAGGATGATCAACTGCTAATTATTAGCTTGTCCTATTATGGCTCCTGACAAGTCTGTCTCCTGTTTTCCTGGTCTGTTGACTCTCCTGCTCTTCTGGATGCCTGCTTCTTGCCTTTCTTTTTACTCACACCTCTAATTCTTCCCTGGTCTCTCAGCAGGTCTTGCTTTCTATTTCACTATATGAAAATGAAAGCCAACAGAAGAACATTCCCAAGCTCCCTCCACCTCGTGTCCCTTCCTCCCTAAGCTAAGCTTGACCTGCTTCTGTCCTGCAAGAATGAACTGACCATGAATGACTTGTGCACTGTGTCCCCTTCCCTTGGCCTGCTCTGGACATTCCTCCCTGCTACACCTTGTCAGCAACAGACCTTCCACAACTGCATTACTCCTCCTAGTCTCTCAGGAATTCTCCAACACACCACCATCCTGACTCTCATAGGGTGTACCCATTTCTCAGTACACAGTATTCTTTTTTTTTAATTTAACTTTTTATTGCTTCTTTGTGAATTTCACATCATGCACCCCAGTCCCACTCATTTCTCTATCCTCTCATTCCTGCCTCCACCTTTGCAACCTCCCACACAAAAGAAAAAGAAAATCTCATTGTGGATGTCACAGTGTGTCCCACACACCCTTTTGCCCACACAGCTTTACTTGCAAATGTTCATTACAGTGAGTCACTGGTCTGGTTCAAGACCTCTGGTTTCTGCTACACTATCAACAATGGATCCTCACTAAGACTTTTCTTGGCTATCCTGTTGTTGCCATGTGTCATGGAGATCCTGCAGCTTTGTATATGTAGGACTGGCCCCTTTACATGATCCAGCAGTTTATCAGTGGGGTAGCTGTTGGGGTAGGCCAACTTAAAAGCCCTGGATCTAGACCTGGATAGTAGCTGAGCCAACTCTACTGCACCCACACCATGTGGGAAAACTCTCCAGCCCTGCCCCCACCTAGCTCATCCAATGATGCAGCCAGCAAGAGGCAAGCCAGCTCCCCTGCTATTGTGGTAGGGGGTGTTGGGGGTGGCTCACCCTTGCCCACACCAGCAGGGTCAGCTCTATTATGACCTATACATATCTGTACCTGCCCAGCCCAGGTACAGTGCCTGCTTTCCCAAGTGCTACAGCTGGTAAGGAACAGGGCTAGCTCTTCAGTTCTCATAACCCCTGAGGCCAACTCATCTGTCTTAGTCAGGGTTTGTATTCCTGCATAAAACTTCATGACCAAGAAGCAACTTGGGGAGGAAAGGATTTATTCAGCTTATATTTCCCCATCACTGTTCAGCACCAAAAGTCAAGACAGGAACTCACACAGGGCAGGAACTTGGAGGCAGGATCTGAGGCAGAGGCCATGGAGGGGTGCTGCTTACTGACTTCCTTCCCTTGGCTTGCTTAGCTTGCTTTCTTATAAAACCCAGGACTACCAGCCCAGGGATGGTACCACCCACAGTGGGCTGAATCCTCCCTCCTTGATCACTAATTGAGAAAATGCATCTCATAGAGGCATTTCCTCAAGGGAGGCTCCTTTCTCTGTTATAACTCCAGCTTGTGTCAAGCTGACACACAAAACCAGCCAGTACATCATCTATCTACTGTATGTAGTGGGGGTAGAAGGAGGCTAGAGTTAGGGTTACCCAGGGTCAGGGTTACTCAAGGGTTAGGGTTGGAGGTGGGTATCTCTCCTTCGCCCATGCCACCCCACCTCAAGGCAGACAAGTGGCAGGGCCAGTTCTCCCATGCTCACACTCTCGGGCCAGCTTACCACAAACTCCTATAAGCAGGGTGAACTCTGCAGTCCACAGTATTCTTTATCATTCTAATTCTGTTTGGTCTTATGGTCCTAGGAGCTGTTCAAAAGCTGATCATTTCTCAAGTTAATCATTGGAACTTAGTGTCCTGGCTTGTTTTCTGTTGTTATAAACACCATGACTAAAAGCAACTTGAGGAGGAAGGGGTTTATTTCATGTTTACTGCTTAAAAACCAGTCATAAAGTGATGCAAGAACATTAGCCACAGAGGAAGGCTGCTTTCTGACTTACTCCATGTGGCTTGTTCATCCCATTTTCTTATACCACCCAGGACCCAAGGATACACCCACGTACAGTGGGCTAGGCCCTCCCAAATCAATCACTAATCATGAAAATGTCCCTGGAGCTTGACCTTGGGCAGTATGATGGAGGCAGTCTCTCAGTTAAGGTTCCCTCTTCCCGAATGACTTTAGCTTGTGTCAGATACTAACCACCACACTTAAGTTTCATACACACTTAGGTTAGAATTCTGGTTCTACACGGCATACAAAACTGTGTGAGCTTGGGTAAAGTACTTTCCCATTCCATGTCTCCATGTCCTCATGGCTGGAGGGGTAAAGAAAACAAACGTCAAATTACTTTAACAAGAATAGTTGGTCATTTTCAGGTTTCTGTTTAGATTCTTCAGTTTCGAGCCAAGAATTAGTCTATCTTATCAAAGAGAAAAAATAACTTTTAAGTAACTAACATTATTAAATTTTACCTATTATTAAACTACCTAAAAGAAAATTGTAATGCTGTGAATGGTAGAGGATGTCTCTAGTTACAATACTCAGTAGACACAGACAGGAGGATGAGAATTTGAGACCACCCTGGGCTGCATAGACCCAGTTCTAACTGAAACCAACCCCTGCCCCATTCCACCAGATTCACTTTTTTAGAAGAGTTGACTAGAGTGCAGAGTGTATTTTATAGTGCCTGGGTCTGATCCCTGGCACTATAAAAATAGTATTTTCTTCAATTAAAATTATTCTGACATCACACAATTTATTGAATACCCTTAACTTTTCTATAGGATGATCTTAGCATAATATAACTAAGAATTCTCTATAGACAATAAACTTATAATCTATCAAGCATGGCTTCTAAAACTAGTATTCAAGCAATACAGCTTTTGTGACATGGTGGAAACTGGCTTCTACCTGGTCAGCTTTACTGAAATGATCTAGGCATGGAAACCATTACTACTGGTCTATGTGACAATTTTGGTGGTGGTTGTTCATTTTCTAGTGTAAACTTGGCCCTCACCTCTTGTACTCCATCTGAGCCCTCCTACTACCCATAGTCATGTGCTTCATTGTGCCAGTCTCCTGCTGTTGCACTAATGCCCTCAGTGATATCTAGTCTTCGGCTTTATTCCAAATGTGACTCCCCTGGGAATCTTGACAAAAGAGCAGATTCTGCCTCAGTTAAACAGGGGTAGAGCCCGAAACTTGAATTCTCTCAACAAATTTGTTTGACTTATTTTTCTCATTTTTACGAGATCCCTCACAGTTTGATACTCTTGACCAGAAATGTTGAACTCCTAAGCTGATTTCAGGAGCCTGAATGGTTCTAACCCAAATACAGTAACTTATTGGACTGAACTACTCCTGTTCCTGATTCAGGATAGCAGATTACATTCACATCCACCAGGAAACCTATTTCCTTTGTATTGGGTTGTTCATTCTTGTTAAAGTCCATTTAAACCAGACTTACACCAAGAAGAGTTTCTGTTTTCTATGAGTACCTCACAATTTTGCTCAGTTTACTGTTAGCACTTATTTACCGTATTCACTAATTCCTATGTGTGTGTAGGTACTTTGCTTTCTTTTCAATTCTGTCCATGTATATTTACAAGTATGTTTTCTTTGTTTGCTTTTATTATTGGTTTTTGGTAGGTTGATTTGTTAGTTTGTTTTTGGTTTGGTTTTTAATTTTTCGAGACAAGGTTTCTCTATGTAGCCCTGGCTGTCCTGGAACTTGCTCTATAGACCAGGCTGGCCTCGAACTCAAGGATTCATCTGCCTCTGCCTCCTGAGTGCTGGGATTAAAGGCATGTGTCACCACCACCCAGAGTTTTATTTTGAGACAAGGTTTTATGTAGTCCAGACTGGCCTCAAACTCACCATGTAGCCAAGGACGACCTTGAATTTCTCATCTTCTATCTCCCAGTGCCAACATTATAATTATCTACTCCCATACAGTTCTACATGGTGCTGGAGTTCAAGAAACTAGAGCTTTGAGCATGCTAGGCATGCACTCTGCCAATTAAACTACATCCCTGGCCACTGTGCTATTCCTTGTGATTTTTCCATTCCTTGTGTTGACATTTTAATCAGTTACCCATCCATGTATGATTTTGTCAAGGTATAGGAGCTTAATTCTGGCATGGCATTTATCTTATATCTGTTTTTTTTCCTCCTCTACTCATATCTCAATTTCTTTACAGACTCAAAGTTTAAGAAAGAAGAACAAATGTCCAAGGCCCAACAGTTCTCCAGAAGCTTAGAGGAAGGGCTAGGCTTTGAGTATGTGATGTTCTATAATAACGTTGAGAAGAGGATGGTCTGCTTATTTCAAGGAGGTCTTCACCTGCAAGGAGTACCTGGGTAAGAGCCATGTCCTAGCAGCATGGAGCTGATAGGATTTTATTCTCACATATCCAGGGACTACAAAGACGACATTAAAATGGTAATGTAGATACATATTTATTGAAATGGAAAGATGTCTATAGCATACTATTGAAAATTATCTATATTGGTTACATTTGAAAATGTCAACATACTATTAAATGATGCACATAATATGTTATTATAGGACATAGAGCAATGGAGTATCATGAACACATTTGTATTGGTTTGGCCATGATGTGATGGTAGTATTAAGGTCCTTAAGGTTTCTTCCTTCTATTTATCTGCACTTCCTAAACTTTAAAGATTTCTTTTTTATTATTATTTTAAACTCTGTGTGTGTGCATGTGTGTGTATGTGTGAGAGAGTGTGTGTGCATATGAGTGTGCATGTGTGTGTGAGTGTATATGTGCATGTGAGTGTGTGTGTGCATATGAGTGTTTATGTGTGTGAGTGTATATGTGTGTTTGTGTGCACACTCATGTGAGTGTCAGCTCCTGCTGGAGTTGCAGGTGTTTGTGAGTTACCCATCATGGGTTCTGGGAACTGAGCTTCTGCCCTCTGCAAGGGTACATGCTCTTAACTGCTAAGCCACAGCTCCAGCCTCACTTTCTAAGCTTAAACAAGGAATGTGTATACATACAAGCATAATGTTTCTTACATAAAATGTTAGCTTTTTGTGCTATGATATGATTACTACTAAGCTCCAGTTTCATTATAAGTATCCTTTCTGCTATGGATGAAGTTAAGCATATGGATTTTATTTAATTTTAAATATACTGAAGGTAAGGTAAATGTATAAAGACACTTAAATAATTTCTATCTTGAGAGGCTATTTCCTCAACTTCTTAAACTTTCTTATCCGCTGCTGTTGTGACTAGATTTGTTCACGGAGGTGCCATTGCGACCATCATTGACATCACTACCGGCATGTGCGCAATTGCTGAGGGCGTTGCCATGACTGCCAACCTCAACATCGACTACAAAAAGTAAGTCTGTGATAATTCTCCTTACGTTCTTAAGTCAGATTGTCCGGCAGCAGATCTTAAGTCAAGACATATGGCTGTAGCTATCCAGGAAGTACTCCCCAAGGACTGGCAAGGGACATAGAGAAGCAGGGACAGGGACATTGAGGAAGCCACCAAGACTGAGCTCTCAAAGTTCTGCAGAGTGCTTCAGACAAACTGTACAAAGGAGTTCTAGAGAGAGAAATTTATGCTTCAGAATTAGTTCTTCCATCAGTAAGGAGGCTGGAATCTATGCCAGTTGTAGGATGAAGACTGCCCTGGCCCTCTGTGTTCAAGTAGAACATCATCTAGGGAAATAATTTGGTTTTTTTTTTATTAACTTGTATATATGAGAGAAGGGCACATGCCATGTTGTGCATACAGAGGTCAGAGAACAACCCATGGGAGTCAGCTCTTTCTTTCTACCATGTGGATCCCACAGGTTAAACCCAGACCCTCAGGCTCAGCAGCAACTAAATATTCCCCACCTGTTAAAAAAGAGAGAGAGAGATTTCTCATAACTTCACACAGAGAAGTCGAGTACAAGTAAGATGGGTTTGAATCCATCAAAAGCGAGGTTCACCATGATCTTCACCATCCAGCTACAGTCCTACACCAAACCACAGAACGGCCTCTAGCAAGGAATGGAGAATGAACTGTAGGACAAAACAGCATAAGAGCAAAGGCTTCAAGGACATCTCCAAGAAAGGCCATGGGTTATTACCACAAACATATAGTACACAGTTATTAAGCATCTCCCCTTTCATGTCATAAAAGCTGTATTACTTGACTACTAGTTTATGGAAGCCATGCTTCATGGATTGTAAGTTTATTGTCTATAGATAATCCTTAGCTGTATTATGCTAAGATCATCCTATAGAAGTTTATTTCAGAGGTGAGGAAATTGTTTCTGTTAGTATTTTATCCTTGTGGTCTGTGTAGGCTGAGACACAGCCACGGAGGCACAGAAGGATTTCCTGATAGTGCATAAGGATAGCTTTGCCCGAATAAAACTTCATTTATAAAATCATAGCCAGTGTAGTTGCCAAACCCTGCACTGTTTACCCAGAAGCCCAGTTAGAAAAGGGACAGAGCTACTTGCCTTCTTTTGTCATTTCCGCTGCCCCTTACCTTCCCTCCAACAAAAGCAGGGATTGCTATTTTAACTCTTCCTCTCTAGTGGCCAATAATAGTAACCTCAAATTAAAATTACTTATACACTTTATCATCTAAGAGCAATCAGGAAATGTGTCCCAAGCCACTCAGGCTCCCACAGAGAAGGGTCTACATTCATTCTTTTACATGTAGCTATCCAGTTTTTCCATTTGTATTTTCCCCATTGTGCCCATTCTTGACCCTTACTATGAGGTAGGAAAGATTCCTCAGTTGGTCAGGGTTGTTCTGTGTATGCATGAGAGTCCTGAGTGCAGAACCCCAGCACCCACTTTAGAAAAGGCTAATGCCACATGACTGCAGTTGCAGTGCTGGGGAGGTGGACACAGGAGGAAGTCTTGGGCTTGCTGACCAGACAGTCTCAGCAGGTCAGTGAGCTCCAGGTTCAGTAAGAGACCCTGGCTCAGAAAATAAAATGGAGAGTGGCCAAGAAAGACACCAGACACTGAGCCCCTCAAAGGCCTGTGGCACCACTGTCCAGCTTTGTAATGTATCCTGAAATCAAGAAATATTGTGCTGCAGCCAGCTTTCTTCTTTCTCAAGGTCGCTCTAATGGGATCAGTTGTGTTCCCACCCAAATTGCAAAATAGCATTTTTAATTTTAAAAAAAAGTTGCATATTATTTTATTTTATTTTAATTATTTTATTTTCTGTGCATTTGTGTTTTGCCTGCATATATATCTGTGTGAGAATGTCAGATCTTGAAGTTGCAGACAGTTAGGAGCTGCCATATGGGTGCTAGGATTTGAACCTAGGTCCTCTGGAAGAGCAGTCAGTGCACTTAACCACTGAGCCATCTCTCCAGTCCCACTCCTTTTTACTTTTTTTTGATATTTTCTTTATTTATATTTCAAATGTTATCCCCTTTCCTGGTTTCCCCCCAGAGTCCTCTATCCCATCTGCACTCCCCCTGCTTCTATGAAGGTGTTTCCCCACCCACCCACCCATCTACCCACTTCCACCTCCCTGCCCTGGCATTCTCCTACACTGGGACATTGAGCCTTCAGGATCTCCTCCCATTGATATCTGCTACATATGCGGCTGGAGCCATGGGTCCCTACATGTGTACTCTTTGGTTAGTGGTTTAGTCCCTGAGAGCTCTGGGGGGTCTGGTTGGTTGATATTGTTGTTTTTCCCATGGGGTTGCAAACCCCTTCAGCTCCTTCAGTCCTTTCTCTAACTCCTCCACTGTGGACCCCATGCTCAGTCACCTTTTTACTTTTAAGAAGCAAAACTTAGTCATCTCAGCTTCCAGCCAGCCAATCTATCTATGCTATTTCCTTCTCTCTAAATACACTGGACAAAACAGCTCAAAACTGGTGGTGCTGAAAGGGGCAGTGTTTGAGCCTATAACTGCTTCATGACATATCAGACTGGGCTTCCTGATTCCATGTAGCAGAAATACTGGCTGGATGGTGGTGGTGCACACCTTTAATCCTTGCACTTTGAAGGCAGAGGCAGAGGCAGGAGAATCTCTGAGTTCAAGGCTAGTCTGGTATACAGAGCAAGTTCCAAGACAGCCAGGACAACTCAGAGAAACATTGTCTCAGAGAGAGAGAGAGAGAGAGAGACAGAGAAATTCAAACCCATGGCCCAAGCTTCCTTTTCTTTTTCTGTTGTAATTGCCTCATTTTGTGGCGCATCTGTATAAAGGGTCTCACTACCACATGAGGGTTTTGAAAGTGAATCCTTACTGCTTAGAAAATCACTCTGTAATGCTAGCTAGTCCACTACAATTACTTAAGCAAAGCTTTGCTCCTGTTCTTTAAGAGAAAAGAGAATGGCTGCAGGCATCCTTAGCTAGATGGGTTTTGTCCTTGTAAGAGTTTAGGTTATACTTTGTTCTCAGAATTTTCAGCGTGAATACCCTGCCTTTCAGAAGTTCAGGTCAGTGTGTGCAGTTAGTTACACACTCGGGAAGCTCACAATTAAATTAAATCCCGCCCTGTGCTATTCACCAAATATTCACTTACATCCTCTATAATCTCATGGTTTTATGATCTCATAACCCAGTGTAACCTCGAATCACATCTCCCTACATGATGGTTCCTCTTCTATTAAGATTTATTCCAGATTCCATTCAACAGACTGCAATGCTTGGTGGTGGTGGTGGTGGTGGTGGTGGTGGTGGTGGTGGTGGTAGTGGTGTGGTGGTGGTGGTGGTGGTGGTGGTGGTGTGGTGGTGCTGGTCAGCATTACTCATCTGCTCCATTATTTCAGTGAGGTGCTCAAGTATATCCCACAATTTTATTAACATGCTCACTGCAGCTAAACTAATGTCAGACATACCAAGCTTAAATGCAAAGTGAGAAGCAGAATTCCAGTCAGCTTGACATGATTCTACCAAGTTAATACAGCATTGGCTACTCTCTGCCCTTCAGATCCAATAAGAGGTGAGAGCACCTTTCCTAGAAGGATGTTAGGACTACTGATGTATACAGAAATGGCAATTTAATATGGTAAATAGTGGCTTAAATGTATTTCAAGAATGAGGGGGAGGGAGAGAGATGCTTTGAATTCATTATAGAGAGAAAGGGGGATGGGATATAACAGGAACAGGTCAAAGCTCCACTAAGAGTCCCAAAATAGTGTGTGTGTGTTGGGGTTGGGGGGGAGGATGGTTTCCAAAGAAAACAAAGAATCTGGTGTGATGGTCCGCACCTTTAATCCCAGCACTTGGGAGGCAGAGGGCAGAGGGAATCTCTGAGTTTGAGGCCAGCCTGGTATATATAGTGAGTCCAACACAGCCAGGTCTATACAGAGAAACCCTGTCTCAAAAAAAAAAACAAAAACAAAAACAAAAAAAACCAAAAAAACAACAACAAAAAAAAACAAAAAAAGCAAAACCAACCCAGAGACAGAGAAGCAGCATCCATAAAAGAGCACCACAAGAGGGCACCATTACCCTAGCAATAAACCTCCCAACAGCAACAGCAGAGACAGCATCTTCACCTCAAGTGGTTTTCATTGAGCCAAAACTTGAGAAAGGTTATAGAAAAATAGGGCAATGCTCAGAGAACATACAGAGGACTAGCAAAGAAGGAAGGAAAGCCATGACAGAATGACCAGAGACAGACAATGGAAGAAGACAGTGAGCAAGTAAATGGTGCATGTACAGAACACAGGTCTCAACAGCAGGGCCAGTGTCAGTGTCTGCATCCTGCAGAATAGCAAGAAGCAGAAACACGAAAATGAGATGATGAACAGAAAAGAACATAAAATATCCCCAACCCAGGTCCTTGGCAAATCTCGAGGAGATACCAAGAGAAAAGCAAATCCTGATGTCTCTCTATATCAATGGGGTCAGCAAAAGCTAATTGAGAGGGAATGTTTAAAGGTCACAGGAAGGACACCTGCACCAGTGGGCAGTCACAGTGACAACTTCCTTGTGTCTTAGAGTCCCTTCATCCACATGGTGGTGCTGTTGGAGCACAGGACACTTCCATGACTTTCACATCAGCCTCTGACCTTCAAAGAAGGTCGTTTTCATTATGGTACTCCATTCTATCTCCAGGATTCCCCAAATGACTAGCCACTAGGTACTTATAGCTACTTAAATTTAAGTACATGTTAATTAAAGTTGAATAAACTGTAACATTCAATTTATCATTTATACTAACCACATTTTAAGTGATCAGTAGCCACATGTGGCTACCACATTGGACAGCTCAACTATGGGATGTTTATATCATCATAGCAAGTTCTACGGATAGCACTGGCTGTTGTCAGACAAGTGCTCCAAAAAGAAGTAGATAAGAAAATTTTTAATTACATCTATATATTCATTATGTCTGGGTGGGGTACATGTATGCCACAACATACATGTGGAGATCAGAGGCCAACTTGCAGGGTCTCCTTCTACCATGTGTGTCCCTGAGACTGAACTCAGGCCTTTAGGTTTGGCTGCAAAAGTCTTCACCTACTGAGCCATCTAACTGGCCCAAGAAATGTTGAGAAGCGCAGAGAAGCTGACAAGAACTACCCCCATGGCTTGTTTTCCTGTTTTCCTCCTACTGGCATCAGACTAGGTTCTGGGTCTCCTAATGGGAAAATCTCTCCCACAACAGAGCTGGAAACCCTAGTGATCTCTTTGAACTGAAGCCCAGAAGCCCAGTCTGGGACCACATACCTGCTCCTCCCTGCAGGCAGTAGTGTGAGAGAAAGGAAGCAGGAGAAACTGTTGGTGTTGGAACTCTAAGGAATGTTCTAGCTAATATAGTCACCGCTCACTGGCATTGAGTATGACTATCCACTCTGTTGTGCACCTGATGATCTTTTGGTATTACATAGGTTTAATGAAAAAAATTGTTTTCTTCCTTCTGCAGACCTATCCCCCTTCTTTCTGTTGTTGTGGTAAATAGTCAACTTCAAAAAATTGAAGGAAGGAAACTTTTTATTTCCTGTACTATTCAAAGTATTGATGAGAAGACTTTATACACAGAGGCAACAGGTAAGGAGCTGCCACTGCCTCTTTTGGAGGTTGGGTTGGATTAGGGTTGTTTGCTTTCATTAACACACAGAAATTTTGAGTTTCATGCCATGAACAGAACAAGTTAAATGCTTTGGAGTTGGATTTTAATTTGAGTGTTTATTGTTTGAGACAAGGTTTTGTGTAGCCTGGGCTGGCCTTGAAATTGCTCTGTAGAAAAAATAACTGTCTCTACTTCCTGAGTACCTGAATTATAGACTTGAGTCACCATACCAAACCTGGCTTAGGTTAGTTGGTTGTTTTGTTTTTGTTTTTGTTTTTGTTTGGTTTGGTTTGGTTTGGTTTGGTTTGGTTTGGTTTGGTTTGGTTTTGCAGGTGGGGTATATTTCAGTGCTTAATCAAACCTCAAGGCTTTGTACATGCTAGGCACTAGACAGGCACTCTGCCACTGAGCTATATATCCAGATCTATGACTAGAGGCATTCTTATAGATTGCTAGTGAAAGGCCTATTTGCCATAATCCATCAAAATTGGAAGTGAGATATCCTTTGATCCAATTCCAGGACTGTATCTCATAGCAATATAGGAGGTTGCTATGGTCCCAGGATTGGTGCATCCCAACTTCATTTTCAATTGAAAAAAAAAATGAGCAAAGCATAGATTCACGTTAGTGGAAAACTGGCGTTAATGATCTGAGTCCACAGTCAGTTTGCAGCTCCATTGCAGGCTGAGGCTTGTAATCCAAGTCTTTCTATTCTAGATTGCTTCTGTTGCTGTAATAAAATGCCCTGGCCAAATTCAGTTTAAAGAAAGAAAAGATTTATTTTAGCTCACACTTCAGGTCACAATCCACCATTGAAGGACGTCTAGATAAGAACTCAAGGCAGTGTCCCACGGAGGTACTCTGTTTCAGTGAGCAGGCTCATGCCTAGCCTTCTTAGTCCAGAACTTGTGCTCCCACAGACCAATCTGATATAGGCAATCCCTCAACTGAGACCCCTTTCTCATGTGCCAAGGCTGAGAGGTTGACAGGAAAAATTTATTAGGATACTCACTAAACCTTTCCATATCAGTTAGCTCAGGCTACCTCTTTTTTTTTTTTTTTTTTTTTTTTTGCTTCTTTGCAAAGGTTTTATTTAGAACGACAGGTGCCGAATAGTCCATTTTGTGAACCTCAGACTTCAGATCTTTCATTTTTCATGCAAACTCACACAACAACAACAACAACAGCAGCAGCAGCAGCAGCAACAACAACAACAAAAGGCAAGAGAACCCTAGGAACTTGAGCAGATATAACTACCTGGGTAAATCCAGAACTACCGTTAGGCATTTATCTTTGCTATGTTAGGTGAAGCTTTGTCTAATACATTGGTCAATCCATAACAATGAGTTTGCCAAACAATATTTACCCAATCGTTCTAAGCGACCTTACTCTATATGCATATATATTAATTTCATTTCAATAAATACCTTTCAGAGGAGCATGTATTTTTATTTTCTATACAAGAGCAAAAATTTTTTAAAAAAGTATAATCTTAGATTTTTCAAAACCTACTTTAATAAAGGCTCTTAAATGCTTTAACCTCCCTTCTAGCCCACCATCCACCAAGGTTATATATAACCATCTAAAGTTATAGGGCAAAAAGAGGATGTGGACCTGTTTAGAAATAGTTATTTGTGGGTGATTCCAATCTGCATCCGGGCTACCTCTTAATAGAAGTATTAATGAATCATGAAGTAGTGCGGGACGTGGCAGAAGTGATGGAAGGTAATGACTTCAAGAGTCAAAAATTAATTAATCTATTTTTGAGAGAGGGTTTTACTGTGTAGCCCTCACTGGCCTAGAACTCACTATAAAAAACAGGGTCACCTTGAACTCAAAAGGTCACCCTGCCTCTGCCTCCTGTGTGCTGGTATTAAATGTGTATGCCACTACCATCAGCCAAAAGTCGATTAAGTTTTTTAAGAAATGAAAGTAGAGAGATAGAGAGACAAGAAATGTCTTTCTGTGTCTCCTTGCTTGGTTTCATCAAATGACAAACAGTTGACTTACAATCATCTGTTCTTTTGTTGGTTTAGCCTTATTTATAAAGCTGGATCCTGACAAACCTTTGACATAAAAGAACTTCTGGTGAGTTCCACACTGTTCTGCATGAGGTTCTCCCCCCTCCAGAAGCGGCACCTATCTCTCCACAGCTGCTAAATCCCCCAGGGAAAGTCTGTCCTCAAGCCCCTGCAGAGCAGCCTCTGAAATAAGTCTGCAGGGACTCACTCTCCACCTTCTGGATTTTTCATAAGAAGTACTTTCTGGGAGAGTCTTGACAGTAATCTGTATCTCCTTAGGACAAAAGTGTGGTTCTGACACGTGAATAGACTTTAAAGCTAACAAGCATAGGACCTGCTCAGCTGTGGACTGCAGGGGGGGAGAAAAAGACTGTATTGAAACTTTGACTGCAAACATGGAAATGCAAGAAAACCAAAGGCAGGGATAAATGTATGGAATTTAGTAAGTGAGGTGCGTATGTGCGTAAGCCACACTGCATGTTACAAAGCTAGGTTTGTATCTGAACAAACATCTCTGGTCATATTAGGGAACACAGCTCATTTCCCTGGGAACAGCCCCCATGCCTCAGTTGTCTGGGGCCCTAGAGATTAAAATACTGTTCATTTGTTTCTGCCTGTGCTATTGTATCTTGAAACACTGTAGCTGTCATCCCTGGAAGAAGGCTCTGTTAGCTTTCTGGAACTATAATGAAGAACTACAAGCTACCTGATTTAAACAAACAAAAATGTCACTGTCACAGTCCCAAACACCAGAGTCTAAAAGTATTAACAAAATGTTGCTTCCTAAGGTTCTGTGTGGGAACTTCCACATCTCTCTCCTGGCTTCTACCAAGGAAGCATCCAGCTTACCTTGGTTTTTAGACACAGCATAATTTCCAATTGTATCTCTTTTTCATCTTCTCTCTATTGTATCCAATTTCTCTCTGTGAATGTTTATTTATTTATTTGTCTGAGTGTGTGTGTATGTTCAGGTGCTAAAATAAATTGGGAGATTAATGTTCTAGAAAGCATATTTGCTTCTTGTGTTCACATTTATTTGTGTAGTATGTGTGGGAGCATGTGTGTCATGACAGTGTATGTGGAAAGGTCAAAGGACCGCTTAAGGGAATTGGTTCTCTCCATCAAATATGTGGGTCCTGAAGATTGAACTCAGGTCATCAGAGTTATTACCAAGAACCTTTACCCTCTGACCCATCTCTCTCTTTAAAATCTGGTTTTCTTTTTCTTTTCTTTCTTTCTTTTTTTTGATTAATTAATTTATTTATTTACATCCCAAATACTGTTCCCCTCACAGGGTGCCTCCTCCCCTCCCCCTTTTCCTCTGAGAGGGTGGGGCCCCTCTGGGTATCCCCCTACCCTGGCCCATCATGCCTCTGGAACATTAAGCTCATCCTCCCCACTGAGGCCAGACAAGGCAGACCCCTTGGGAAAAGACGTCCATAGTCAGGCAACAGCTTTAGGTACAGCCCCTGCTTCAGTTGGGGGACAACCATGGAGACTGAGCTGCACATCTGCTACATATGTACTGGAGGCCTCGACCCAGCCCACATATGCTCTTTGATTGGTGGCTCGGTCTCTGAGAGCTCTGAGAGGTCCAGGTTAGTTGACTCCATTGGTCTTCCTGTGGAGTTCCTATCCCCTTCAGAGCCTTCAGAGCCTTCAGTCCTTCCCCCAACTCTTCTATAAGAGTCCCCGACCTCCTCCCAGTGTTTGGCTGTGGGTATCTGTCAGCTGCTGAGTGGAGCCTCAAGGGTAATTACGCTGGACTCTTGTTGCAAGCATAACAGCATCATTAATAGTGTCAGGAGTTGGTGCTTACCCATGGGATTGGTTTCAAGTTAGCTGGATATTGGTTGGCCATTCCTTCAATCTCTGCTTCATCTTTGTCCTTACATTTCTTTTAGACAGGACAAATTTCGGGTCAAAAGTTTTATGGGTGGGTCGGTGTCCTTATCCCTCCACTAGGAGTCCTGCCTGGTACAAGAGGTGACCTCTTCAGGTTCCATATCCCCACTGTTAGGCATCTCAGGTACAGTCATCTACATTGACTCCTGGGAGACTCCCCCATCCCTGGTCTCTGGGACTGCCTACAGATTCCCTCCACATCCCTCACCCCCAGGAACTACAGATTTCCATTCGTTCTCCTGGCCCTCTGGGCCTCTCTCCTGTCTCTCCCCCTGCCTGATCCTAATCCCCCCACACTCCACATCCCCTCTCTTCATCCAACTCCCTCCCTCCGTCTGCTTCCTATGACTATTATACCTTCTAAGTGAAATTCAAACATCCTTGCTTGGGCCTTCCTTTTTGTTTAGGATCTTTGGGTCCATGGAGTATATCTTAGGTATCCTGTACTTTATAGCTAATATCCACTTATAAGTGAGTATATACCACACATGTCCTTTTGGGTCTAGGTTATCTCAATCAGAAAAATATTTTCTAGTCTAATCCATCTGTCTGCAAAATTCCTGATATCCTTGTTTTTTAATAGATGAATAATATTCTATTATATAAATGAACCACATTTTCTGTTTCTAGTTGAGGGACATCTGGGTTGTTTCCAGTTGTTGGTATTACAAATAAAGCTGCTATGAACATAATGGAGCATTGTCCTTGTGGTATGGTGGAGCATCTTTTGCATGTATGTGCAGGAGCAGTATAGCTGGGCCTTAAGATAGAACTATTTCCAATTTTCTGAGAAAACTTCAAATTGATTTCCAGAGTGAATGTACAAATTTGCCATTCCACCGGCAATGGAAGAGTGTTCTCCTTTCTCCACATTCTCTCCAGCATGTGCTATCACTTGAATTTTTTATCTTAGCCATTCTGATTGCTATAAGGTGGAATCTCAGGGTTTTGATTTGCATCTCCCTGATGACTAAGGATGTTGAACATTTTTTTAAGTGCTTCTAGGCCATTTGAGATTCTTCTGTTAAGAATTCTCTGTTTAGCTCTGAACCCCATTTTAACTAGATTATTTGGTTTGTAGGAGTCTAACCTCTTGAGTTCTTTATATATTTTGGATATTCACCCTCTGTCAGATGTAGGATTAGTAAAGATTTGTAGGCCGCCATTTTGTCCTATTGACAGTGTCCTTTGCATTACAGAAGTTTTTCAGTTTTAAGAGGTCCCATTTATTATTGATCTTAGACCCTAAGCCAATGGTGTTCTGTTCAGGAAATTGTCTCCTGTAACAATTCATTCATGGATATATCCAACTTTCTCTTCTTTTAGACTTAGTGTATCCAGTTTTGTGTTGAGGTCCTTGATTCACATGGACTTGATTTTTGTGCAGGGTGATAAATATGGATGCATTTGCATTCTTCTGAATGCAGACATCCAGTTAGACCAGCACCATTTGTTGAAGATGGGTGTTTTTTTTTTCCATTGTATGGCTTTGGCTTCTTTGTCAACAATCAAGTGTCCATAGGTATGTGGGTTTATTTCTGAATCTTCTATTCGATTCCATTGATCAACCTGTCTGTTTCTGTACCAATACCATGTAGTTTTTTATCACTATTGCTCTGTAGTACATACAGCTTGAGATCAGGGATAGTGATTCCTCCAGAAGGTCTTTTGTTGTTAAGAATTGATTTAGCTATCCTGGATTTTTTGTTTTTCCATATGAAGTTGAGAATAGCTCTTTCAAAGTCTGTAAAGAATTATGTTAGGATTTCATGAGAATTGTATTAAACCTGTAGATTGCTTTTGATAAGATGGCCAATTTCACTATTTTAATCCTACTGACCCATGAGCATGGGAGATATTTCCATCTTCTGATATCTTCTTGAATTTTTTTCTTCAGGGGCTTGAAGTTCTTATCATATAGGTCTTTCATTGCTTTGTTAGAGTTACATCAAGATATTTTATATTATTTGTGGCTATTGTGAAGGATATTATTTTCCTGATTTCTTTCTCAGCCTGTTTATTATTTGTATAAAGAAAGACTACTGATATCTTTGAGTTAATTTTGTATTCAGCCACTTTACTGAAGTTGTTTATCAACTTAAGGAGTTCTATGGTGGAAATTTGGAGGCTGCTTATGTATACTATCATATTGTCCCTGAATAGTGATACCTTGACTTCTTCCTTTCCCATTTGTATCCTCTTAATCTCCTTTTTTGTCCTATTGCTCTAGCTAGAACTTCAAGTACTACATTGAATAGGTAAGGAGAAAGTGGGCAGCTTTGCCTTGTCCCTGACTTTAGTGGGATTGCTTTAAGTTTCTCTCCATTTAATGTAATGTCTCCATTTAATGTAATGTAATGTTGGCTATTGGCTTGTTGTATATTGCTTTTATTATGTTTAGGTATGTGCCTTGTATCCCTGCTGCTCTCTCCAAGACTTTTAACATGAAAGAGTGTTGGATTTTGTCAAAGGCTTTTTCAGCATCTACTGAGATTTTTTTTCTTTCAGTTTGTTTATATAATAGATTAGGTTGATAGATTTTTGTGTATTGAACCATCTCTGTATCCCTGGAATGAAGCCTACTTGATCATGGTGAATGATGTTTTTGATGTGTTCTTGGATTCAGTTGTGAGAATTTTATTGAGTATTTTTGCTTCAATGTGAATAAGTCTTCAATAAATGAAATTAGTCTGAAATTCTCTTACTTTGTTGAGTCTTTGTGTGATTTAGGTGTCATGGTTACTATAGCCTAATAGAATGAGTCTGGCAGTGTTCCTTCTGTTTCTATTTTGTGGAAATTTTGAGAGTGCTGGTATTAGCTCTTCTTTGAAAGTCTGGTAGAAGTCTGTACTAAAACCATGTGATTCTGGGTTCTCTCTCTCTCTCTCTCTCTCTCTCTCTCTCTCTCTCTCTCTCTCT